ATGAAATATATTACATTTAAACTATTCTCAAAACTATATCATTGTCAAATATGAAGTAAACCATACAAATTCAACATAATACATGAGCACTCAAATGATGTGATGATATGTAATTTGTTAAACTGGTGAAAATCCACAAGTATAAGAATCAACATGATTAGTTAGATATCAAAAGGATCCAAATTTGAACTTGCCAATATTTAGAGGACTAAAAATGCAAACTTCTCAAAAGTAAAAAGGAAATTAAAAACACAAATTTAACTTTTAAATTTTATTTTATTTCTCAAAGAAAAAAGCAATAAAAACCAAAGTTTATACTCTCTCTATTTACTTTTACTTGTCACTTTTCATGAGAGTCAATTTGATTAATTTTCAGAGTTAAATTGAATTAGATTAATTTAATATATCAAATATAAATTTTATACATTCAAAACATACGAAAAGTAATATAAGATGCAATTCTTCTTTCATCTTAAAATTTTGGTGAAAGTTCATACAATTTAATTCTCAAAAAAAAAAAACGTGATAAGTAAAAATGAAGCTTTCCAATATTTTGGGAGGCAAAAATATAAGGAAAAAAGATGACATACAAGTTTGCTTCCATCAAGGAGAATTTGGGGATTTGGAGAAACTAAAATAAAGTTCTTCCTTGGGATAACAAACCAAAAAAAGTTTTTGGGGAACTTTGAGTATACATGTACTAGTAGGATGAGCTAACAAGAGGAGAAACCCCAGTTATTCGAGGTCATTCTATAGATTTCATAAAATTCGTTGACAATAAAATCAGATTGATCACTGATATACCATTAGATCATCAACGACTAGTGTATAATGGAAGACAACTCTCCAGTCGATCAGATCAAACATTGGCACTTTTTGGAGTTGAAAATGATACAACTATGCATCTAGTTGACCAACCAGATGCATAGTTATATCGTTTTCAACACCATAGAATGTCAATGTTTGGTCTGACACACTGGAGAGCTATCTTCCATTGTACACTAGTCGTTGATGATATGGTGGTGTACCAGTGATCAACCTGATTTTATTATGAATGACTTTTGTGGAATCTGTAGAATGAGCTCGGATAACTAGGGTTTCTCTTCTTGTTAACGATTGAACAAAAAACTGAATTGGAGTTGGATCATTTCTCTTTCGCTTTCTGGTAAGGGATGAAGAAACTTGATCAAGCTTACGACTAGTTGATGGTAGAGCTACGAAGGTTATAGCCGGTGGTGCGCCGGTGGTTGTTATCACATATCGATGAAGTGAAGTAAAAGTGGGTAATGAAAATGGTGGTGTTGTTTCGTTTGAAACTTAAGAAATCAATTTATAGAACTAAAATTAGAAAAAAGGTCAAAAAGATCATTAAAGATTTTTCCCAAAATGGTCAATTGGTTATTAATTTGATTTTCTCCTAAAATTAATGGTTTTGGTCAATTGGTTATTAATTAGATTTTCTCCTATAATTAATGGTCTTGCTCAATTGGTTATTAATTAGATTTTCTCCTTAAATTAATGGTCTTATTTTTTCTATTTCGAAGTTCTTTTTTGGGGAAATTAAATTTAATGATGAGTCCAATAATTGAGAATGAAATCTTTTTTTAAAAGATTTTCCACAAAATGGTTAATTGGTTATTAATTCTATTTTCCCCTAAAATTAATGGTCTTATTTTTTCTATTTCTAAGTTCTTTTTTGGGGAAATTAAATTTAATGATGAGTCAATCCTAATGAGAAACATTTATTAGTCTTTATAGTGGTTAAACTAGTTTGTTGAAAAAGTATATAAATGCATCAAATTGATCAAAATCAATATATTCATTAATGATATACATCATTAAATTTTGTCATTTTTATATGATATACAATAAAACCTTATTAAATTAATATAGTTGTGATCATAAAATACTACTTCCTCAATTTTAAAATAAGTGAATTGTTGAGGATGCACACCCATTAAAAAAAAAAGTTTAGGGCATAAGATAAACACCACTTTCCATTTTTTCCCTTTTAGTTATTTTTCAAATTATTTTTGATATTATAAATATTTCAAAGTAAAAAAATCATAAATATGAGCAAATAACTCTCTTGAAATTATCACCTAGAATATATAAATAAGCGGCAATAATGAAAAAAATTTCCCAATAACTCTCTTGAACTTTGAACAATTCATTTATTTTGAACTATAAATAAGCTCAACAATACACTTATTTTGAAATCGACGGAGTAACATTTTTTCCATTAACTTAATCACTAGATTTATCCCCTTTACATTTATTTATTATCTGCCAGTTGAAGATATTAGACAGATACGAGCAAAACGCATGTACTACTATTTTAACAATTTTATAAAAGAGTAATGGAATTAATAGTGACTTTCTTAAGTTTTCACTTGGATCATTTGTGCAGATATATGAAAACAAATACTTAGACCCGTTTGGTCATGCGATATAGAATTTTTGTGTTGTATATTTTCTCATAAACATAAGAATCTCACAAGTTGTAAAACTAGTAAAATAGTCCCAATTATTTATTCAATCTTATCAAATAAACAAAAAAATATAAAATTGCATAATAAAGTATTACAAAACTATCTGTTCACCACTTAATTAATTGTTTCATCTAACTTTAATTGATCAAATATTTTGTCATTCCTTTGATATTCGCTCAATTAATTATGTAACACTGTACAAGTTATGACAATTTTCACTTGTGTGTCAATATCATATGGTTCATGCCTTGTTTCACTTGTGTGCAATTACACATTTTCAGTGCATTAAATTCGTGCTAAAATCAAACATATTGGAAGTAGTGATTATCAAACATACATCACCAATTTTGTCCTTTTTCATACTCCCTCCATTTCAAATTGTGAATGGCAAGAAATGTTTTTTGTGGGAATCAACGCTGCCGTTTGGTCGAGTTTGTGTTGATGTATTGTTGTTTTCCCGAGTCTCAAATGAGCTTGGGCTATTTTAATAATCCAAGACCCCCATTTCACAACACACATTTAAACAACGACGCTCAGAAAATATCGTTCACGCTAAGATCGATTTCGGGAGTTCTACTCACCAAATTCAATTTCGTAAAGTCGTACAGGTTCCTTAACGACTTATCTAACTACTCATGTAATCAAAATCATAAATAAGTCGCCCAATTGTTACCATATTTCCCTACACCTTAATGACTCTGATTTCGTCCAAATCTGGACAAGTTTGGGAAATTTCAAGTTACTATGAAAATGATTTTCGACCTAAAAAATTTTCCCGTTGGCTTTTCTATAACGACGGAATCCAATTGTTACAATAGATACCAATTTACCCATCACTCTTCCCCAAGTGATAAACTTAGGAAAAATAGGCTAAGGAATGAATGAAGTAGTACCTGAATCGACGAACAATTAGGGATACTTGTCCGCATGTCCCTCTCGGTCTCCCAAGTAGCTTTCTCAACTAGACGATGCTTCCATTGAACCTTCACAGACTTAATCTCTTTGGTTCTCAACTTGCGCACATCACGATCAAGAATTGTAATCGGTTCCTTCTCATATTGGAGGTCTTTGTCTAACACAATTGAGTCTCATTTAATGATCTAATCCCCATCACCATGATATCTCTTCAACATAGACACATGAAATACCGGATGAACTCCCGATATATTAGGAGGTAAATCCAATCTATACGATACCGGTCCCACACATTCGAGAACCTCAAATGGGCCAATGTATCGCGGACTTGGCTTACCTTTCTTGTTGAATCTCATCACCCCTTTCATGGGTGATACCTTAAGAATAACATTTTCACCAGTTTGAAACGCCATGTCTCTTACCTTATGATCAACATACTTCTTTTGTCTATTCTGGCTGCTAAAATCTTAGCTTGAATACTCCTCACCTTATCTTGAGCATCATTCACTAAATCAACCCCCACCCTCAACCATCCTATGGGTGATCTACATCATTTCCCATATAATGCCTCAAATGGTGCCATATTAATGCTGGAGTGATAACTATTATTATAGGAGAACTCATACAAATGTATGAATTTATCCCAATGCCCTCCAAAATCAATCAAGCATGCCCTCAACATGCCTTCTAACACTTGAATAGTCCTCTCTGACTGCCCGTCTGTCTGTGGATGAAAGACTGTACTAAAAGTGAGTTGGGTGCCCAATTCATCATGTAATTTCCACAAACCTTGGATATGAATTGGGTATCACGGTCTGAGATGATAGAGAGGGGCACCCCATGCAACCTCACTATCTCTTTCACATACACCTTAGCCAATTGTTCAGCATTATAATCTATTCTTACCGGAATAAAATAGGCAGAATTAGTCAATTTATCAACCACTACCCAAATATAATCAAACTTCCCCAAAGTCTTAGGAAGACCAACCACAAAATTCATGGCTATCCTTTCCATTTCCATATCGGAATTGGCATTCTTTGAAGCAAACCTGCAGGCCTTTGATGTTCATACTTTACTTGTTGACAATTCTGACACTTAGCCACAAATTTCGCTATATCCTTCTTCATGCCCAGCTATCAATAAATTCGCTTCAAATCTCAATACATCTTGGTCACACTCGGATGAATAGAATATTGCGAGCCATGGGATTTTGTCTACAACTTGTGAACCAAATCATCGACTCAAGGAACACAAATTCTCCCTTGAAATTTGAGCACACCTTCCGCATCAAGAGTGGTATGTTGTGCCTTACCATTCATAGCCTTCTTTCTAAGCTCCTTTTAAATTTTCATCTTCAAATTGTTTGGCCTTGATCTCCTCAATGAATGTGGTCCTCACTTCAATGCTATCTAACACCTACCTCTTTCTGAGATGCCTAGCTACATGAATTTCGATTCTAAGGTCTGAATTTCCTTAGCCAAAGGCTGCTTGGATACACTCAAGCAAGCTAAACTACTCATGCTCACTGCTTTTCGACTCAAAGCGTCTGCCACCGCATTAGCCTTGCCCGAATGGTATTGAATGGTCATATCATAATCCTTGAGTAACTCCATCCACATTCACTACCTGAAATTCAGATCATTTTGAGTAAATACATATTGTAAACTACGATGATCAGTAAATACCTCATACTTAACACCATACATATAATGTCGGTAGATCTTAAGAGCAAACACTACCGCTGCCAACTCCAAATCAGGTGTTGGGTAATTCCTCTATGCACCTTTAATTGGCGCGATGCATAAGCTATAACATTCTTATCCTGCATCAACACAACACCCAAACCAGAATGTGAGACATCACAGTAAACAATAAAATCCTTACCTTCAATCGGTAATGCTAGAATAGGCACGGTGGTCAAGAGAGTCTTGAGCTTTTGGAAGCTCTCCTCACATTTTTCAGTTCATTCAAATGGTATCTTTTTTTTATCAAGTTAGTCAAGTGAGTGGCAATAAAAGCAAAGTTCTTCACAAATCGACGATAATAGCTAGCGAGCCCCACAAAACTCCTAACTTCCATCACAGAGCTAGGTTGAACCCAATTATTAACCGCCTCAATCTTTTGAGGATCTACCATTACCCCTTCTTTTGACACTATATTGCCTAAAAATGCAACAGAAGTCAACAAAAATTCACACTTAGAGAATTTAGCATACAACCTTTGTTTCCCAAGAACACCAAAAACAATACGAAGATGGTTAGCATGCTCTTTCTCATTTTTTGAATAGACCAAAATATCATCAATAAAGACTATGACGAAAGAATCAAGAAATGGCTTGAACACCCTATTCATTAAACTCATGAAAGTTGCAGGCGCATTAGTCAAACCAAAAGACATAACTAGAAACTCATAGTGCCCATAGCGGGTTCTAAACGCCGTCTTGAGCACATCCTCAGGCCTAATTTTTAATTGATGGTAACCAAACCTTAGATCAATCTTGGAGAAAACGGATGCACCTTGCAATTGGTCAAAAAGATCATCTATTCGAGGCAAAGGATACTTGTTTTGAATAATGACCATATTCAATTGCCGGTAATCTATACACACTCTCATTCTACCATCCTTTTTCTTAACAAACAAATCAGGAGCACCCCATAGGGAATCACTAGGACGAATAAATTCTTTCTTAAGAAGCTCTTGGATTTGAGCCTTAAGCTCTCTTAATTCCATCGGAGCCATGAGATATGGAGGGTTAGAAATGGGGCGGGTACTAGGTTCTAAATCAATGCAGAAGTCTATATCTCTATCGGGAGGCATACCAGACAAGTCATTAGAAAACACTTCTCTGAATTCTGACACAACAAGAATATACTCAATGGATGGAACCTCAATCTCAACATCCCTAATATGAGCCAAATAAGCCAAACAACCCTGCCCTATCAATTTCCTAGCCCGAATGAAGGATATGATCTTAGTTTGCTTAGGATTGTACACCCCTTCCCATTCTATTTTTTCCTTTTTTGGAATTTCTATAATTACAGACTTAATATTACAATTAAGCACAACATAACAGGGGCACAACCAAGTCATGCGTAAAATTATATCAAAATCAATCATATCCAAAATGACTAAATCAGCCCAAGTCTGAAAACCCATAAACAAAATAGGACAAGCACGATAGACATGGGTGACTATGATTGACTCTCCAACTAGGGTAGAAACATGGATAGGGACATCAGGTATATCACAAATCATAGTAAATTCTAAGGAAAATCGCACGGATACATAGGAATAAGTAGAACCCAGATCAAATAACACATTAGTCATTCGGTCACAGATAAAAATAATATATGTGATCACTGCGTCAGACGCATCTGCCTTATTTTTTCCCGGAAAGGCATAACACTGAGCCTTATCATCTTGACGAGCTACTTCCCTGCCTGATTGCATGTTACCCCTACTTGCATTACCATTTCCTCTACCTTCACGGCATCGCTGATTACCTCCTCGCCCACTTTGTGGATGCCCTCGACCATTATTAACATTCATCGCGGGTACCACTGCTCTAGACTGCTGCTGCACAAAATATAACACATGTTGGTGGGGACAATCTCTCCTCATGTGCCCAGGTTCACCACAATTGTAACATGTACGATCAAAAGATGGCCTACTTCCCGCTGAAGGTGCGACTCCCTGACTATCCTGAATCAAATTATAAGGTGGAGTTCCCGAGTAATTACCTGTAGAGGCGGGCTTAGCGGACTGAATTGTCTTGGTTGTAAGCGTTGGCCTCCCTGAACCTCTGGAATAAGAACCTTGAAAATTGCCTGAATTCTTGGCCCTTTTTTCAATGTCTTAGCCTGACCGTCTCGCCTCACCCCCTCCACTTTCTTAGCATAGTCTGTTACCTCATTAAAACTCCTCCCTGCAGAGGTCATATGAACAGATAATACCTGCAACTCAGAATTTAGTCCCATAATAAACAAACGGATCATCTCATCCTCAGTAGTCACCAATTGAGTAGCATATCTAGACAAAACATGGAACTTGGCCTCATGAGCAGCCACAAACATACCGCATTGCTCCAAAGCCATGAATTCATCCTTCTTGTGATCCCTCAAACTCCTAGGCACATACTTCTCTAGAAACAGAGCATGAAATTGGGTCCAAGTGAGTGGAGGTAAAGTTGAAGATCTACATTCCATATAAGCTCTCCATCACTGCTTAGCCTCACCTTGAAGTTGAAATGACACAAACTCAACCTCATGCAGATGAACAATTCCCAACTTATAAAGCCTCTCATAGCAATCTAAGATAAACTCATAAGCATCATTATTCTCAGAACCAAGAAACACATGAGGCTTTAGCTTCAAAAACTTATTCAACATCTCATGGTCATTACCAGTCATAACAAAACCCAACAAAGGATGGAAGATAGCATTATTACCTCCAGTCCTACCCACCTTGGGGGTAGTGCTAGCAACATGGGGATTAGTAGGAGCTTGAGTTGCTTGAGCGGAAGGAAGCACTCCAGGACCAACCAACCCTTTCAGGAATGACATGATCTGTTGATCTAACACTAGGTCTATGGGAGGAACACTGGTAGTCTCAGCCTGTAGCTCTTCCTCTTGTCTAACCTCCTCAACATTTTCAACCTCAATATCCTCTTCTATCTCTTCATGATGTACATGAGGGCCTCATTTTGGAGAGCATTTCCGACCGGTACCCCATCTCTAGCAGGCGCCATTCTTCCTCGACCTCTACCCCTGCCTCGACCGCGACCTCTCGCTACAGATTCCTAAGCTGGAGCATTGACGGGAGACACATGCCTAACGTCGTTGAATCTAGTGTTAACCATCTGCGGACAGAAGAATGAAGGAAGTTAGATACCAATTGGAATCAAGTTATAGCACGAAATGAGACAACAGAAAACAGAGAGATTTTCTAAAGTCCTATAGCCTCTCGAAGAAAATTACAAACGTCTCCGTACCGTTCCGCAAGACTCTGCTAGACCCGTTTTGGTACATCGAGATTAATAAACCTAGGCTCTGATACCAACTTTGTCACGACCCAAACCGTCGTGATTGGCACCCACACTAACCGTCCGGTGGGAGAACCACTATTACAACCCAAACCAAGCAATTAAACCAAAAACTAAAGCATTCAAGGATACAAAAACAAGAATAATAGCTAAAACTGAAGTTCCCATAAACTTCAAACAAAAGATCTAACAACTAACATTGCGGAAAAATACACATAGAACCTGAAAGTCAATGTACCAAAACGTCTAACAAGATCCATAAGTCTAAACAAAAAGGGTTAAAACCCCAAACTAATGTGCTAGCAACTACTAGAAAGTCTAAGTCTGAAATGTGGACATAGACAAAAAGAGAACTCATGGCAGCCCG